TCGGAGGCCGTGGAGTAGGTCCTGGGATGACTTAACCTGTACCCACTTATCCCAATTGGTCTTGCTTTTCAGATGTGGCATGGTGTGGCACACAGGTTACAGTGTAACGGCATTCCGGAGGTGTCAGTGTTTGTGCCTGCGGAAGGTGCTAACATTGGATGTCTCCTTTGCGTGGCGACTCTTCTCGTGAAAGGCTCAGTCCCGCCTTTTCTCCTTCCATGTATCTGCCTGTCTCCACGCCACCTTCCTTTCCGGACATGTGAGTGCACAAACATCTTGCGGCCGAAGCTCTTCTCAAACTTAGCGACGAACTCCTCGAACTCTTTTGCAAGCGGCACGTCGGCTTGTGTGCCACTCAGGAGAGCACCAGCGGCAACGATCCCAATACCTGGAGGCTGTGGTGTCTAGACTTCTAGGAATGCCCCCTTTAGCGCCCAGCCCACTTGCAGCTGCGGACAAGGTGCGCAAGCCCTTCATGCTGGAGATTAGAAGCACGTCGGCAGGAAATTGACGGCACTATCCCTTGAATTGAGTCTCAAAGCGGTGGCATGCAGCAGCCCATGCACTGGTGTGGGCGGGCCTTGCTTTTTGGGCTCCTTTCACAGCTTGGTGCTACTGGAAGTGGTTGCATGTGGCTGTCATGGCCTTCATCCTGGCCCGGCCGTGGCATTGGCCCAATGCCTACAAGCAACACAAACACGCTTTCACCACGACGGGAAGCTACCCTCGCCTCAAAGAGAGGCGCCAGCAAACTGTGACGCTGAACAGCTTCGGAGAGAGGCGAACCACAATGACACGGCATTTGGCGTGGATGTGGTGATTTTGCCTCATGGAGGGGCTAGACAACATGCCTTTTTCTGGAAGGGGCTATGTCGGGAGTACGAGCAGTGGGAAGAACACCTTCTTCCAGACATGGCCCTGCACTTGCGCCTGCATGCGCAAGTCCCTGGCACTTCTGATTGTGCGGGAGTTGGACAGGCCATCAACTTCACAGAAGACGTAAAGACCGTTGCAGCTTTGTGTCCTGAAGAGAACATAGCATCAAACGTTCGTTGATAGCCTTCCCAAGAGATGTCCGCCTGCTGCAGTCTTGAACAGGCCTGCCCATCTTTCTCTGAAGGTCGATGAGCCACAAGCTGACATGCATCACCAAACATACATAAACATAACATCGAAATGGAGCAGTGCCACCATGCCAAAACTGCGGCGCACGTTAAATAGTCCAAGCCATATGTACACGAATCTATGGAAAGAATTTAAATACCTCTCATGCCTCTCATGTCATCAAGGTCTCACCTGCGGTCCCGTCTGGCTCTGCCTGCTTCACGCCAACTCGGCAAGGCCAGGCGGGGTGCCGGAACAAACCGTGAATTCAGCTGAGGTATGTACATCTGCGATTTGATGAGGTCATTACCTCCTTCCCGAATTCCTGTTGCAGTTGGCCTGAAAAAAGGGCTGCCCTGACAAATGGCTCGCAAGGCCTGGCTCGCCTGGGCTCCTTCTGGTATTCATAACTCACACCACTGGGCGCACCCAGGATCTGGACACTTCCTCTTCAGTGCTCAGCAAGCCGCGGAAGGCCACAGACACCATGTGGCAAACCTCCTGAGGCAGGTTCTGAATCTTATGGCCACGTGCGCAGACAGGGGTTTCGTCCTTTTCGGGATCCAGGCTGCCTTCAGTGCCCTCACCATCACCTCAAAGTCAGCGTGCCCAAACCAAGTTCAGATGTCTTTGCCCGAAAATCTTTAGATGTCTCGCAACCTGTGCTCTCAACTGAAGGCCTGTTTCCTTTGCAGCGCAAACGAAGCAGCGCAGCAAAGGTTGGGGATGGCCAAGAATTGGTGTGACAGCCGACTGAGCATTTGCTGGGCCTGCCCAAAATGCTGAGGCTGCCACTGCCTGCCGTGCGTTCTTCTTCCAGGTTGTGTCGACGATGCTTCTTCGCCTCCACACATTCATACTCGTCCAGCGGCAGATGCAGTGCAAAGACTGACAGTCTTACTAAGCATCGTATCTAATAAATCTAATAATCACAGCTGCCTTTCGAGCAGCTCGCTGGAGACGCCTGGCTGCCTTCCGGGACACTCTTGCCAAAGGCTGGGCTTCGGCTCTGGATCTTCGGGCTCTCTCTCCCAGTGCCGGCCTTCTTCCTTTCCTTCCGCATCTTCTTGTAGAGCCGCTCCTGGCCGAGGTAGGCTGCTGCATACACAGGCTGCGCGCGATGGACTGCGGGGCTTGTTCCTTGGATGGCTTAGATACCCAAACTTTTTCTGCCCACACCTCGCACTACTGCGCGTAGCACTCGAGATAGTATGTAATCGGGCGGGGCTTCCAGCAATGATGTGAGTTCAATCAAGACTACCAATAGCACTGCCACCTCGCAGCCATCCTCGCAATGGCAGCCATCAGCCTCCAGCTCCTGCATGGTCAGACCTAGAATTACACTGGACCTCTTTGCCAAAATGTGCTCCTTGTCCTCTGGTTCGGATCGCACACACCGCTCCTCAAGGACAGAAGCAGCACTGTTTCTACGCACTCCCACTTCCACCATCCCCCGCAGCCCCGTTCATGCAGTTTGCTCGCCAAGCATCTTTCTTCCGCTTGTGCCTCTTACTCTTCTTGCCCTTGTCACACTGGCGCTGCCTTTCATCAGACTTCGCAGCTTTCCGAGCCAGCTTTCGCGCAACCTGAACACATCGGAAATGCCGCAAATGCTACCTCTCCTCAGCAGTGCCAAGAGATGAACGAAGCTGGATGGCAGTAAGATTCCCGAGCCCGAACATACACCCGCCTTTTCCATCCGCCTCAAGGCCTTGTGCTTTGCTTTTCGCCACTTGGCTGCCTTCTATGGGCACTAGGAAGGCATTCGTTGCAAGGTGTGTCGCTTTGTCGTGTTTCGTTTGGACATGCAGAACCAAGGGCTGCACTGCTTTCTTCTCATCCCTCCTTGCAGCGGCTACACTTCTGCAGCATGCTGCAGCTCTACATCCGCTTCACGTGACGTCTCGCGATTCTCACTGGTCCTGGCAGCTTCCCGCTGTCGCTGCACCTGTACGAGGGTGGAGATGCGAAGGGCGGATCCAACAGCAGAAGCTGCCGCCTGTTTCAGCATGAGCCGTGCCGCCCTCCGCACTGTCCTTTCATCGGCCTGCTGCAAAGGTGCGCCGACCAAAACTTGTGGCCTTCTCTAAAGCGATGCTTGTGGGGCATTGTAGGGCCTCCATGAAGCCTCCGATGCTAGGCTCGTCCACGGCCTGCTTGCGCCGAGGTTCTGCATGAACGGGTGGAGAAGGCAAGTGCCTCCTGCTTCACAGGAATCGGGGCATCCGTCGTGCTCACGACGTCGCTGAGGCCAGCATCGTGCTGGGGCAGGAACTCCTGCGATTAGGCCCGCGTGTAGGGCCCACAGCACAAGCAGATACAGATGCGGACACGCTTTCCTCTAGCTGCTCCAACTTCGGCTGGAGCCCTACCCAGGGCTGATGTGAGAGGTGAGCCCCTTCCTGCCGACTCCGACGCGCTTTCTTCGAGCGACTCCAAACTTTCCGAACTGATCTGCCTGATGCCTGCAGCCTTGCACTATCAGACTCTGACTGTCCAGCCTTGCAGCTTTAGGATCTTAATGCTGTTGCTGTTCTCGCCTTCTCTGTCACATACAGCCGCAGTGACGGCTGCGGAACTTCCGCGGCGCCGGTGAGCTGTCCATAGAGAACCACCTTCGTTTCCGCAACACTGCAAATCCGGTTGATGGTTTCATGGGGGATGCCACAGAGTGCGGGGCACCGACAAGACCAGGCACTTCTCTGGGGGAGCGGCGAGCTCTGGGAAAGTTGTTGGGGTGAGCAGCCTGCTGGAGCCCTGCCACAAGAATTCTAGCTGGATCTGGTCCTCCAGGCACAGTCATGTAGTACCCTCGAAAACACAGATGCAGCTCGTCGTCCTCATCTTCGGGTGCCAAACGTTCTGCGAAGATTCGCCTGCAGACGCCGAGGGTGCAAGTGGAGTGTCCAAGCGCTGTGCACCGGACTGATGCGTTGATATGTCCGAGGGTGCGACAGGCAAGCTGCTTTGACCTGTGGTACACAAGAAGCCAGTCAAGATTGGAATTGCGCAATTGCTGTTGAATATTTGTAGCCACACCTGACGGGTGCCCCTACGCCTAAATGGTTGACCAAACCCGTGTGTTGTGCTCAGCCTGGTCCATGGCGAGCTCCTCCACTCTGACACGGCGGACCTCAAGACGCAGTGGCTCCAGCTCCAAGCTGCCCCCATGGCCTCTGGGGCTCTAGCATCGTCACCCCAGCAGAATTTTAGGAGGATTGCCATTCCCTGCGCACGTCATGAGATTTCGCAGCTAGACGAGAAGTGACGAGAAGGGTCACTGAGAGGTGCCTCCTCCGCGATCAATAAGATGCTATGCAGCGGAGGGGCATCGTCCAGGCTTTGGAGCTTCAGAGTGGAAAGGCTGCGGAAGCCTCATGATTGCGCCTTGAAATTCTCCGCCCCACCCCGGTGGATGCACACCAAAGACATTCTTATTGCGACGTTGCGCAAAACGACAGCGTGACAGCGGACCGGACATCTTTGGCCCCATCCAACCATCTTCGGCTGGAAAAAAAGGGTCTCTGCCTTTTGGCAGTGAGGCGTTAACAGCACGACCGAACACCAATCGGTGTGACCAGCTCGCAGTAAAGACTCTAGCTGTACAAGAAGATGGCAAACGACACATGTGAACTTTTCTCGGATCAGAACTCGCATCTTGCTTTCTTAGACAGACACAGATCGGCAGAGTCACAGTTGCAAGGCAGGGCCATGGTTGTGGGTGGGCAACGGGCCATTAATGCTGATGGTGCTGTCCGGGGCTCTGTCTCTTCTGCACTGCAGAAACTGAAGACAGTGGTCCTTGGACGTCAGCGGCACTGCCCTCAGGCACCGTGCGCTTAGAGAGTGCAGCTGGATCACGCAATGCCCAGGGGGATGAAGTTCAGGGCCGAAAGCCTTAGCCGCGCATCTTCAGGAGCTGCACGGAGCTCTGCTTCTTCCTAGTGCTTAGCGATGCTTAACGTGGAAACCGAGAGCAGTAAATGCTCCATACTCCTACTGTCATCTATGCATAGGAGGCCGAGGAACAGCGACCATCCCAGTCGCAGCCCGAAGAGAGTCAAAGGCCTCACCTTCCCTTCGAAGTCAAGTTCTTCGCCTTAAACAAACGTCAGCCGGAAGAGATGGAAGGTGCGTCTTCAAGTTGGGACTGTCGCAACTCGATCCCGGTCCGAAGGTCAAACTGTCAAGCATGCCAGACCAAAACCAAACCAGAAAAGCCACAACAGCTAAGACAGCAAGAGCAACACACAGCAATCAGTGGGTGTAAACTAAATGCATGACAGACACACTTGCGAATCCGGCGCTGAGCACGCAACTTATCATACCCTGGTACTTCCAGATTCTGAGGCCAAGTCACAAACACCGCCGATAAGCTCCGTGCACTCTGCCAGCTTGGCTGCTTCCGGTGGCCGGCTCTCACATTTCCTGGGGAAACTCTTGTGGCTAGACGCGTGAAGTACTGTAGGCATGCCGCACAAATACGACTTGCAGGGGCTTACAACCCCTGGGCCAAGCGGCTTGCTCCTAAACCGCGGGTCATCAAAGCGCATTGCCAGCATCAGGCTCCGCTGCCGATAAAGTAGGTAGACATGACGATCCTCGTGCGGGGACAAGGAAGCACAGCACTTGTTGAGCTTCTCAGAGCTAGAAAGACACGTGGCGTTCATCTTCTAGTTCGAAAGGCTGACCTGATGCTGCCACGTTGCGACTGCGGCATTCACCTCGCAGGGAAGTCGATGGCAGCTACTCTCCACTTTCGAACCTCAGGCGACCTCGTTGCCCAAGAATACCATGAGCACGATGCCACAGATGAGAAGGGCGCAGATGCCCCCAGACACAGTCATAGAGGTCACATCCACGCCACTGATCTCTGTATAATCCTCAGGCGAGAAGCATGAGCAGAAAGGCTTCCATTGGGCAAACATACCAAGACACATGGACATGGAATGGAAAGGAAGAACAAGCTTTGTGTGTGTGTGTGTGTACACCCTTGTTTGTACTGTCCCGTGTTTGTGTGTGCTCGGGCACCTGCATTTGTGCAAGTGCTGGTGCTCGCGTTTGGCCGCTTAACTGTATTTTTACAATGCGCTTGTGTGCCGCTTGCTGGTGGGATCCATTTTCTCTGCTACATTCATTCGATGGGATGGGGGCAAGCACCAACACGCGGCTGCATTCTAGTCTGATACCTGTACCAAGTGTCGAAATAGCCTTGAAAGCTACTTTTATCTGGCAGGCACTGGTCACTAGTCTCCAGTCGATGGCAACTGCGGCCGGCGTTGTTGACTTGTTTGTATCGGAGCCACGCACAGGAAAGGGGTTATCTGGCCGCCAGAAGACAGGATAAAGCAGCATGCCAGCGATCAAGTCCCCAACGACGACCAGCATCAGGAAAAAGAATTGTGCCTAAGCCAGGACACCTCTACTCTGTGGCGGCATGCATGTCAGGCATGATCAAGCATCAGGTGACGCAGGCCAAGCTGTCCAAACAAACACATTTTGAAGCGCTTGCCAAAGCCAGCCAAAGTTCGGTGAAAGCTCGAATGCGCACGTGATAGAACTTGCCCCATTCGTTGCACAGCTGCCGAAGTTTTCGCCACCCAACAATGGTTTTGACGTCCTTAGCTGCTTCTGACATGCGAAAGATGAGTGGCAGCAAGAGTGTGCCGGTCTCAGCCATGTATCGCTCAAGTCGAGAATGGGAAGCATGTCCACCTGCATCCCGTCAAGTCCACCCGACTGCCGTTTCACAGCATCTGTCCTACCTGACCTGACCATCTGCATCTGCTCTTGACTGGCCTCTGCAGGGCAGTGGCGTCGGAATTCCCGCTGCACGGTCAGCATGGCAGCACAGCTCCGCATCAGTGCCCGTCTCCTGGAAGGTGAAGCACTTCGATTTCTGAAGACGCTAGGCACACACGCAAACACAGACACGCCCACCCTGTAAGGCTCTCTTCACAGAGGTTCCTTCCTTCCATGGGCCAAGTCGAGACAGGAAGGCGGGTTGTGAGGGGCCTAAAGCGGCTCTGGGCTCCTCCAGATATCAATCGCACCCGTGACCATGAAGATGCTTGAAGAAAGAAAGCCTGGATTTGGGCCATTTGCCCTATGGGCTTTCAGCTCGTAGGGAGAAGACTTGTTTCGTGCCCAGGAGCATCCGAAGGCTGACGGAAACATGCCGATGATGGCAATGCGAGCACCAACTCCTGCACAGGTGCAAAGCCGAAAGCGGCAAGAACCCGCTTCGCACTTATCTCAGGGAGCCTGTGCCAAACATGCCCGTCCATCCATATCCGTCGGACTTCAGGGCCCGAAGAAGGGAAGGGAGGAGCACGAGGCAAGTCGTGAAGAGAGCCAGCCTTAGTAGTACCGCTTCATACCTGGTGACAGGCCAAGGCCGCTGCACATGCCCAGCCACGGTCGAAAGAGCGGAGGTATGACTGCACGTTCGCTCCGCATGACGCCACGAAGCATGTACAGAAACCTGAGCATGGAATCAAAGCCCAGGACAAGCACGCTATGCCGCTATGCGTCGAGTTTGATCGTAACCCAACGGCAATAAGCACAGGATCTGCAATCGCCGTCCAGCCGGCTTGTTTTTCCTAAAGGTTTCAGCCTTCAGCGGTCGTTCGGCAAGGATGAAACCCGAACTTTGGAAGGCATGCATCCTCGCCACCTCGAAAACAACTTGTTTGTGGAGGCGTCAGTTCTGTACGTAGTGAAAATTCCTCACCTCTCCTTTGCCTCCAGTTTCCTGCAGTTTGACTCGCCCGCTTTGCACAGGCAAAGCAACCACGTCAAGACACACCAAATCAATGTGCTAACTATCGGCTGCGGCGGTCTGATCAATTGAGGGTGCGGCAAGTCCTGAATTGGCACCTCTTGGCCTGCAGCTGCCGCTCGGAAGATGTCCGTGTCGTGGTCCTCCAAAGCAGCTCCATCCCAACATGCGACACTCGGCACAAGCGGGCAGAAGCCGCACGACCTTTCGGTGTGCTCATGCTATGTTCTCTTGATGCGCCGGGTACATTTCGAGCAAGAACGGTAAGAGACCCAGGCCGGTCAACCAAGACAAGAACGCTTGTAACAGCACATTAGCACTGCTTCTGATTGGGGTCCTTATGCTCGTCGATGAGGCCTGGTTGTGGGATTGTGTCATCGGGGGGCAACTGCCTGCTCGACCTTGTGTTGCGCGTCAAGCTTTGCCTGTACCTGCCCTATGTCACCTGAAGAGCGTTCAGAAACCTCAATCTTCCGCTAGCTGCATGGCTTTTGCGCGCGGAATGTACAGTCTTGCTCTTGGGCTCGACTTTGTGGGCACTGACTCGAACTAAGCGCACTGCTCCGCATTGACCAAGCCGGCTCCTTCGTTTCTCACTCTCTTGCAGCTGCTACATGTTGACACTTCAATTTACTTGCTTCGACGTGCAGCCAAAGCCACGAATCTAACCAAGGTCTGTCCTCAACAAGCGAAACTCTCAACTGGCCCTAGACATCATGCTGCCCCCGGAGAGTTGTCGTGCAAGGCCATGTGGACTTTGGCAGACTGGCGAGCACATAAAATTCCCGTCAAGCTGCGCGGCTGGCCGGGATTTGCTGGTAAATACATCGTTGGGGCTCCCCTCTTCTTCGTCTTCAAATTGCCTTGTGCCGCATCTGCTGGCTATGGCCGGTCTTAAAAGCGCTCTGGCCGGGGCGCAAAATTTGCTGCTGCTCTGCTTTTCGAAGCCGAGTCTTCTCACGGAGGATCCGCCCAGTAGGTGCCTGATCCGGCTTCACATTTTGTTCGACACTCTGGCGACTGTCTCAGGGCCCTGGCATAGAACATGGTCTTGCTCGTTACGTCTACGCGCTCGCGCAGGACGAAGAGCTCGTGCTCTGAGCGTGGCCACGGCAAGAACTTCAGGAGGGTTTGGCCTCACCGTCAACTTGCAACACCCTCTCCTCACCTGACACCTTCAATGATTCAAAGTCCCATGTCGCTGTGGTATAGGGTGCTCCTTAATCCTCTGCTAAATATCCAGACCAATCTCTGCAGACCAGGGGCTCCGCTGCTTGCGCGACCCGACAATCGTCACCTCGTTGACGAATTGCTTCGAGCAGGCATCAGTTCGAGGGCTAGCCGCGGGCTGACGTAACCAAGTGGCGAAAGCGACTTCTGCTTGCAAATCGAAGTTTTCAGCGGGGATACGTAGCCAGCCAGTGAGCAAATTCATGTACCTGACGGATCAATTCATTGAGCCTGACCCCAGTTTTCGGAAAATGCGGGGGGCATCCAAACTGCCTGCCGGCCTTCTGTACTTCGCATCAACGAAGGTCGTGTTCAATTCACTCCAGGTCGGGGTGGATGTGTAAGCGTACTTCGTTGCAACCGGGGCATTCCTTGGAGCAGGAAGCCGAGATGACAGGGCTTGCCCCCATGTGCAGATCTGAACGTTTGAGAGGTCGAGGGCCTACGGTCTCCTGAGACGTGCCAATTGAATTTGCATTCAGGCCGGGATCCGCATAAGCAGCCCGATAATCGTCAGCTTCTTCTCAATCAGCGTTACTTCATTTTTGTCATCGAAGAAATACATGGCAATGAGCGCCGCGAAGAGACATGCCCAAGTCACGAACTGGCTAATGGTGGATGCATCGATTTCTTAGTTGTTCAAAGCTCTTCCAGCAAAATTCAGACATTCTGCCAGCATGGAGCTAGATTCCGCTACATGCTGCCGCAGCGCTGGAAAAGATCCAGAAACCTCTGTTCTTGAGACCAGTTTTCCCACGATACAGCATCAGCAGTACGGGGTATGATAGTGGCCCAAAGATGCTGTAGAGCAACTGTCCGACGAGTTCCTCGGCATGGCCCAAAGGAACACTACATCAGGCTTCTAAACCCCATGTTGAGCCAAAGAGTCGATGAAGAAGACCCGATAATGGAACACCTCGGATACTTCCGTCACCCAGTTGTTCAGGTCCTTGTGGAAATCCATCGCCGACTCTCGGAAATCCCCATCCTTCCGTTCGCAGGCACTTCGGAATGGGCAGGCTATTGACCGGGCCCCAATGATGGAAGTGACTGCAGTATCGTTGGCAGTCTCCTCTGGGCAGACGACATTGGGCTCGTCAGAGTTGGCGGGCGGTTGTTCCGCCGGCTCGGGTGCGCCCTCGCTCCGCTCACTGCGGTCACCTGTTGAGGTGCTTGGTTCTCTCCATGAATCATGGTCCGGTTCCGTGCTGGGCTGGGACCGTTGGCCTGCCTGAGGGAACGGACACGACAGCATTGGCAATCTCAATGGCTTGGCCCTGCAAGGATGCAGCGTTGGACAAATCCGCGGTTCAAATGCATGCAGCCACTTCATGACAGTCAGCGTAGCCCCATTGCGCCCAGCCTCGACAGCATGGATCTCATTCTGCTCTTCTGAGCAGGTACACTGCGCGCAGCCTGCAAAGGCCCACTCGAAAATCTTCATCAGCCTTTAACCTCTCAAGGAGCATACATGGCCTCCGGGGAACAGAATGCCATTTGCAGCCATTCTGGTCCATTGCGGCAGAGATACCAAAAGAAATTGTCCACTGCCTCCTACTGGCCTACTGCATTTCGCACGAATCACCCCTTCAAGATGTGCACCAATGGCGATTCGACGAAAGTTCAAATATCTGCATACATACACATATGTGAGTGCGTGTGTGTGTATATATATGTATATGTGTGTGTGTATGTATGTATGTATGTATGTATGTATGTATGTATGTAAGTATGTACGTATGTATGTATGTATGTATGTATGTATACACACATTGATCATACGTACATACACACATACATACATACGTACAAACATACATACATACATACATATATATATACTTATTTATTTGTATTTATTTATTTTTATTTGTTTATTTATTTATTTATTTTTGTATTCATTTGCGTATTTATTTTGGGACTCGCACTCGACGTCGTCAGGCGAGGTGTAGGAAAACATATGTGTATATGTACATATATATATACACACATACACATACAACACCACACATGTACCTTTACATAATTACAGAAACAAGCGTGTACGTGTAATATAATATGCAATATGTCTATAAGTCTATGAAATGTATGTGTTTATGTGTCAATGTATGCACATATAAATATACAATAGGTACGCATAATATTTGCATGTATGTATGTGTATATGTATGTGTATATGCATATGTATATGTATATGTACATGTACATGTACATGTACGTGTATGTGTATGTGTATGTGTATGTGTATGTGTATGTGTGCATGCATGCATGTATGCATGTGCATATAATGTTGACAAGTGTACAGAGAAGTAGAAAAACCACCCTGAAGGCAGACTTGTGTGTGCGCCTACATACCAAAAGACTATGTCCTTGCACGCAATAGCACATGCAGGGATGCATGGATGCTGGAATGAAGGTACCTATGCTTACAAGGACACTTACGCAAATACCACAGCACTCCATCTGCAAATGCAGCAGTGGTGCAGAGTCTATGTGTGCGTTTATGCGCGTGCGTGTTCAAGGCTGTGTGCATGTATGGAAGCATTTGCGATGTACATGCCAAGGTTGCCTGCCAATATGTCCGTTTGTCAGGTGCGCACCATGTCCCATCTTCATGATGTCATGGCTAGCTGGAGCACATTGTCACAGACGGCGCGGCATGTCGTGACAGATAAAGTTAAATAAGGAGATTGCATGGTTTGGGAGCAAACTTTGCAATTCACAATGGGATGCTGAAATGTTCCTTTGCTTGACATGTTATGGTTTAGCAATGGCAACATCCACCGTCTACTCCAACGACAACTCTTTTCGAATCGACATCCAAATGACCGAGGTCTTCGGCGCCGCCAGCATGTCGTGGAGCTCTTGCTTGAGTTGGGCTGCCATCGGCTGGGTTACTCTGATCCGTCGCGCAGAAATCGTGATGTTGGCCCTGATCTCACGTATGGCATCTGTCACAACTCATCATCGCAACAGATGAAGAGCGGAACCTCAGCTTGGCGCTGAGGTCACAAGGAACGCAAGCCGAGATGCCGAAATGCAGAGGCGCAAGCGCAGGTGATCGCCCCCCAGCCTCATTCTGCCGTGACCCGGATGGCGCAGCAAAGATTCTGTGCCGAATGCAAACAAGCAGCCCAGAACCGTTGGAACACCGAGCATGAAGTAAATCAGAGGAGATTTCCTGAAGGTCGGTACAGGCTAACAGGGCCTCAAATCTGCTCTACCCCAGGTTCTCGCACCGAGATTCCGACAAATGCAGCATGATGGCCGATAACATGCACATTGCAGTGGAGAACGGCAAGATCTAAGCCGACGTAGGGCAGGTTGCGACAGCAGAGCGCATGAGTCTCTTGATTGCTGGGCCTCCGGCGCTTACCGACAGCATCACAAAACGGAAGAAGCACAAAACACATTCGTCTTCGCTGTCATAGCCTCCCCGAAGCCGCAAGCCATGCTGAGGCTGTTGGAGGGTTTGTCTCTTCTCCAGGCCTGGCTTCAGCCTCGCTTGCAACAGCAACTGGTTGGCGACGGCACTGAGCAAAGTGAAGAGGCAAACCTGCACAAATCGCAAGCACCCCTTGCAATAATCGTCCATGGCCACGGGCATGACTCCAGGACTGGGCCAGGCCAGCAGGTTGGTGGAGTGAAGCGGGTGCTGATCATCACCTGTGGTGTGCAGCCGATTGCACTTCCGTGCCGAGCGTGCCGCCACTGCTCAGGCCCAAGCAGTGACTCGGATGGAACAGGCACATTTGACAGCGAAGCCCATTTTCGGCGTACCTGACCATTCCTAAACTGAGTCGAGGCTTCTCTGGCCGACATGCCAAGAGCCCAGCCAAGCATACAAGTAAGCTGCAATACACATCCTGGAAAGCGCGCTTCGCACTTCGCAAGTCGCTTGTGCTCCTATGGCTCTAAGCATCGCGCTGTTGCGGGAAATCCTGCACGAAGAACTTGAAGACAATCCTCAGCTGCTTTCTCGTATGCCTCGTGATTACCCCCCGTAGCTCACAACAAGGCAAGGGGCACGCGGCTCAGAAGCTTCCCAGTATCCACCTGCACTCTCGTTAACATCCGGATTCGGCGGACCGATGCTGCCAGCTGAACTCATACTGGTAGCACCCTGCCCGTCTGGTCTGCAAAAACCCTCAAAGACAAGCAGGCCGGAACCTCCTATATTCTGGGAGCTCTGCAATTCCCTGCGTCTCTTCCCAAACTCACCGTTTCATAGGCCTGAGCCCTTTGCGCCTTACATCTCGTCCTAGGGCTCCCTGGAATCTGAGCCCTAGGCAAACAAGAAGAAGCGCCGCAGGACCTGAGACTCTGAGACTGCAAAGCTGGAGCCAGAGACGATCCGATTCGTCCCAAAAAAGGGCATCTCTCTTGGCCTCCCGCTACCCCGGCAAGGAGGAGCTGAACCTTCGACTCTGAGTCATTTGTGCACCATTTGCACAAGAGGATTCCGCTTAGCTCGAGCGCTGCACCATTAGGAAGAAGCCCGTTGCAGAGGCTGTAAAAGAGAGGACCTGCGAGGCAAGGCGGCTTGATGATACTGCCGTGCAGCATCCAGCTTCGTCAGCGATGGCAAGCAAAAAACAAGTTGCGAAGTTGCACGAAACCTCCTAATAGTGACATCAGCGACAACCGCTTGTAACACTGAACAGTCCTAGCACTATTACCAAAAGAGGGCGCACCCTGTGGTGCCGTCCCTGCCCTCGCTCGCTGAAGTTCTGCCTGCAGGGTGCGGCATGCTTTACAACAGCCGAAGTAGTCACAGCGACCTTCGTCTGGTCTACTTGATGCTTTGGAGAACGCTTGCGCTACCACTAGTAGCCCCAGCGCGCCAGCTGCCCTCGAAGCTGCACTGCTTCTGCTGATGAATATCCTGGCAGCAAGCACATACTGATGCGGTCAACATACAGGACTTAGACTGCAGCTGCAGCTGCTGATTTTTTGATTTAGGTGGGAGCTGAATTAAAACAAACGCTTTTGAACAACCTCGAACTGAAACCGATCAGTTGCACCTCCAGGTGGGCAATCCGAGAGTCCACCACAAAGATGTCAATTCGTGCCTCTCTAGCAAACTCGCGTGACGAGTGCCCTAAAAATCACTTCATGCGGAGCGCCAAACATATAAAAATGAAACAACAGATTCGTGAATTTCGTCGGCCTCTTCTGCGTACTTGGACTTGAGATTCACGCTCCCTTCCCAGGCCGGCTCCTGCGATCTCCATAGATTCCATAGATACAGCTATGTAAATGCACGCAGGTCTACTCTGCAAGAGAAGCAGGTCCGAAGAGGCAGATGCGATCAAGCTTGTGGCGTGTGCCTCTCTCTTCTCGGTGACGACTTGGTACCTCCAAGGTCTCGCTTGTACAGCAATTCTGATGGAAGCTGCATGCCAACCTGCTGCCCCAGCCGTGGCTAAGCTGGCTGGCTGAAGAGCCCGGCAGAGCGCCTTGGCAGAAGCAACCCCTCGAGTCATTTTACGCGCTTCACAAAAAAACAAAGGCCGTCGCTCTTTCCAAGTGGATGAAGGCTTACCTTTGCATGACTCGCTTAGCAGCGCATTGCGATACGTGACATCTTCCGACACCCAGCAGGGCCTGCCACTGAGCACTGGGGTGCGGCTGCTGCGGCTGTATCTTAGGATCGCCAGGCTTGCATCATTCTCAGCCCATGTTTTCATGCAGCCATCCTGTCTTGCAGCACTTAGCGCCCCGACCCCTAAAAGGAATGTTGGCGGATGTGACCTCGGTGGCACCGCTTCATGCGACATCGGAAGAAGTGGAAACATCCGCGGGGTAGCTCAAATCAGACCAAATCGCTCCCAGACTCGGGATGCAACGCGGTTCGGAAAGAGAACGACTGAGTCTTGGGTATGACGTAGTCGAAGTCGCCCTGACGCCGGGCTCACCGAAGTTGCACAAGATCGATGTCTACAGTCTACAGAAAGGGACAGAGTCTGATAGAGAAAAGCGGGAATAGGCAGGCCCCCTTCTCGTGCACACTTGCACTTGCCAGGATGCTGGCTGTTCTTTTCCGCATGCAAAACAACAAGCGGCAAGTCCAGCAGCTCTGCAAAGAACACCTGCCGGCAGCAACGAAGTGGGTTGGGACGACGGGACTCGGGCCGCCAGTGGAATTGTCATGACAGCGCAGGTCAGGGTCTCTTGTCTACTGTCGGCCGTCACGCGTCGGGCACGGAAGCCATGCAAGTTCGGCTCCCTTCGGGTTGGCCTGAACCTGAGACTGTGAGACGCAACTGCAATCCTGCACAACGGGTGCGTGTGCTATGTCAAATTCGATCGTCAATTGCCTGCAACGTATGTTTGCCTGGGGGGACCCTGCCACAAAGATGCGAGGAGAAAACGCAACAAGAGAACACAAGCGCCCCAGGCAAACGTCGATAGGAATTTGCTGTACACCTCGCAACCGAGGCATCTTCGATGCAGTGCGAGAACTTGATAGAATAAACCGAAACGAATTCAAGTTTCCCTAGTTGCTAGAAGTTAGGCTGACGACTGGCTCACCCAGGTATCTGTCAGCCTTGCAGGAAAGTACAGTGAGTGCATCCGTCCACGGGCTGTCTAGAGTCTAGACATGCCTAGACAGTGTCTAGAGTCTAGAAGGATGCCTCAGTACTAGCTGTGACTAGTTAAAGTTCTGCGCTGGTCCGGAAAGTCTCGGGAGACTAGAGATGGGTTGTGAGTGCCTGTGCTTCGAAGTCAAGCGCTCAAAACGGTTGCACGTGTCAAGGCGACGCGCGTGTGCGGCTTGACGGCGAGGCTGCAAGGGCAGCGACCCGCCTAGCCCAGGAACTTCACCTGGCCTTCGGTTTCAAGCTCTTCACCTGGCACGAATGCGGCACAGTATTACCCCTTCAGATAAGTACGAGTAGAACCTGGATCTGCAAACAAGGTCACGATAGTCAAGATCAGTAAGGAAGGTTACATGCTGCTTATACTTGTGCCAGATACTGAAAGTGGCAACTGCAAGTCTGTTCGTTAGAGACGTTGCACCTTTAGCCAGTTGTTGGACAGTTCGTAAGATGTCCTGTCAGCTTGCTCTGTGGTCCGCCAGCTGAGTCACGTGTGAGTTTAAACAAGAACATGTGCAAAGCCATGGAGGGCTGAAACATTGCATCAAATCAAGTTGAGCCAGGCCGCCCCAGGTAGTATGGAGGCACTCAGCTCTGACACCTTCATGCATGGCTTCGCTTCGGAATGGCTTCTGCCTGTCCTTTTTGAGCGAGCGGGCATGCGTGAGTGTGTGTGTGTGTGTGTGTCTCTTTTCTTTCTTTCTGCCGGGCATAGGGCCATCTGCCCACCCGACCACTCATTGTGTTAATGAGTGGACGGCTGATTAGGGGTCTCTCTCTTTTCTTTCGTCAGGGCTGTGGGCAGGAGTAGCACCCCTGCCCGTCTACCGGGTGGGAGGCCCAGGGAGCGTCCAGCCCTGAACCTCGCGCGCGAGCGTGCACTCGCCGTCCTCGGGTGTCTTTTTCCTTCAAGGGTACTTCCCCCTTGAAGGCTCGGCTGTGCATTCAGCCGGGAACGCGATCCCCTGTCTGAAACAAGGCACAACTCTGGAAAGACAACCTCACAACTACAGGACCGCATTCCCCTCACACTCTGCTGCGTCACTACACCACGTCAGGTAGGGCTCCGGCCCACTGCAAAAAAGCGCTTAACGCGAGAACTGGATTGACTGCAGACTCGTGTGCACTTGAACTGCGACCGAGGAGTAGTGCGGGAGTATGGCATGCTAAGAGGTTCCCCCGATTGTCAGTGTAGGGTGAGCTTGGAAAGGCGAGGGCTTTGAGGAAAAACATGCTTTCCTCGCTGCTTCGAGCGAGTGGTGTCAGTTGACAGTTGACATTGAAAGGAACGGAGGTGAATTATGGGCTTCTAGGCTCCCCCGAATTCAGCACCTTTTATGTCACCGGAGTGATTTACATCGGCCGTGTGTCTCTCGCTCTCTTTCTTTCTTTCGCCAGGGCTATGGGCCAGGGGGTTCCCCCTAGCCCGCGCGAAGCTGCGCCCCCGACCGTTGTGGTGGGGCATGGAGAGAAAAGGCAACACCACCAAGGCAAAGACGCCTTAAAGGGAAGTATAAGCAAACGGGCAGCATGGTCATTAGGCTGATTGGTGGTGCGAAAATCAGCTGGCTCTATGAATTATGGAAAGTAGCTGTGCTGTAGTACAAAGCCTCAGGTCGGAGGCAAAGTTTGCGGTGTCTGGAGGCTCCGGCGGCCCGTCTAGGCAAGGATACGTTAAAGAAATAAACAAAAAAGGGGGTGTTTCATTCCTAGAGGTGGTTAGCGAAGTTGGAGTAGGCCGTCGTATGGACAGAAAGGTGCAATACATTTGAGTCACGGATGGCTTCACTGAAAAGAAATCCAGCCAAGGAACTCTCTGAAGCAATCACCACGGCAATCTGTATGGGGATTTGCCCCGGCGTGATAAGCAAAGACTGTACGTAAGCCAGCAAGGCAAAAGAAGCCAGCTTTGGGGTTTTCCCCCATGAAAGATAAATGTGCTCTCGCAACGCTCTCTTCCTCTCTCTCCTACTTACATAAGCGAAGGCTCGACGCGCAGCGAGTTACACTCAATAAACGCGAGCGACGCAGACAAGAGATAAGCCATGAACGGGTTAGCGCACACTGGTGCCGGACATCGCACGGGCGATCATACCGTTTGGCTGGAAGTCATGCCAGCAAATTAATTCCCTCTGCACCTGCTGGGAAGATGCTCTACTCGGCTAGTTACGCTCCAGCAACGTCTTCTCCAATGAAGGCACAGGCTCACCGCTGGATTGGTATGGCCACACGGGGCATAGGCACGAGCCCACCTCGAAATAGCTGCCGCGCTTGAGGAAGAGGTCTGCAAGCCACAGCCAAGAGGCTGTTTGCACAGCCTGCCACTTCTTCGACATCTTTGTAATTTACCCGACAACGAAAGCCTACAGCCCGATCTCGATCACTGAACGACAACTCAGTGTCCAGCCAGCAATGTCGTCTGCAAGATTGGATGCTGAAGGTATGGTGCCAATACCTCGCCACTGCTATGCTGCACAGACTTCAACCGTTGTCGGCATGCCCACGCCGAAGACTGCATGAGTTCAAGTTGGACGGGTACGCTTCCTCGCACACATCCTCACCCCCATCGGACAGTCGTGGTCCGGCCGAACAGCAACCTTCAAAGGCCTTCCGAGCCTTCCTACCCCAACAAGCTCACAGGGCGGTTTGTGGGAAGTTGTCGTCAGACTCCATAGGCTCACAGGCATAGGCTATCTTTCAGCCTCTGCAGTGCTACTACTTCTCCAAACTAAATCTTATTGATTGCCGATCATGGGGCTCGTGTCCCTTCTAGACGACCACGGCACTCTGATTGGAGTCTGGCGGATCAACCGAACTTTGCACACCGTCCTGAACCAGCACGAAGATAGTTGGAAATGCCAGGAAGTACGCCGACCCGGCGATCTCGAATATTTGCAAAAAGTTCTGGAGCTTGATGCCGCCTGACGAGCACCGGGCCCTCACGGCCCTCAAAGCGATAATCAAGGGGAAACTGGGCCATGCTGGGCGCTGGGCCTGCCGATCTCAGTCGCTGGATGCCTTCCAGGGCACCGGAGATGCGTCGGCCACAGCTCCACTCTCTGCTCCGCTCCGCAGCCAAGGAACCACTGCGAAACCAGGCGAAGAGACTCAAACGAGCCGTAAGAAGGATCCAGCCAACGAGCCCCTCGTTCTCGTGGTACTTGAAATCCTCCACTGCAGACACGACAGGCTCGTCTCGTGGGCGCTGTCATGAAAAGTGCATTAGGGGGGGGCCGAGCGCTCCTCGGCTTGTAGCTTCCCCATCGCCACCAAAGCCACATGAAGGAGGGTGATCACAGTGACCACGGGCACTAGGAGCTCAACCTCCAGTCTAAGAGAGGTGATGCGCTCATGAACATGACCGTGTGCAAGCAGAGGGGTCTGTCTCTAAGAGGACGAAGTAGGCATTCACCAATCTTGCAGCCCCTCCTCGCTCAACTTTGAGCGAATCAAGGTGTAGCCCTGAGCTATTGCCTCAGAAACGAGTCTCCAGCAGCCTTTTCCCATGCAAGCAGCTCAGCCAGAGATCCGTTTGAGGGTGCAGAATGATGGCAGGAGCATGCCGACTGAGCACCGCACTATCAACAGAGAGGCGCTCGCAACCTCTGGCAGAACTGCAGCGCCCCGAACATCCGACCGTGCCGCACCGTGCCATGACGGTTTCCCAGCTACACCAGGAGCCGCGCTTGGCTCAACATGAAGAGCACCTCGGCGAGTCCATCCGCCATCGGCAGCCCTTGGCCTCCCAAAACATCAGCAAGCGAGGAGAGAGCACCGAGCAGCAAAAAAATGCCAAGGCTGCCCAGGAGCCATTCTTCTTGTATGTCAAGAGATGTACCAGATGAAGCGCCTCAAGGTCTTGGCAGAGTTGGATGCAAGGGAGCCGAATGTTTCACACACTTCCGTCTGCCTGCGATGCCCAATGGAGGCTCACCGCGAAGAGCAAGCCACGAACTACAGGATGAAGCCGTCCTGGCAGATGTTGGGCTGCATCCGTGGGCTTGGTGACACCTGAAGGCAGGCCGAGGCGGCCTAGGCTTTGACGAAGAGCTCTGCTTCTGGCTACGAACCAGCATGCCATCGCAGAGAGCATCAGCAGGACTAACACCGTGGCCGTTGGCATGTACCTTCAAGAGTTTGACGGTCTGCACCTTCCGGCATCAGGCGTGTTTCCCGGCCTCATTTCCAAACTCAGCTCTGAGTCGTCGAACTGCCTCAGTCACTTCAGACCGCGGAGCGCGCGCAGCAGGAGCCCGTGTCTTCCCGGAGCCTCCAGCGAACCTCGTAGTCCACTGTGTAGCCTTGGGACGGAAGGCGGCCCCACCCAGCACTGAGCCGAGACGTTTTTTGAAAAAAGCCGGGATGCTAAAGCTCCGGTCTCCGGGCATGCCCCGTGCAAGCTGGTCCGGACAATCAGAAAGGGCCTCGGGAGCGGCACTCGCTCAGGGCCTGGAAACCTCAGCTAAAGCCCTGCCGAGCCACGAAATACCAAATGTGAGGACGAATTGTCTGATACCTCGATAACATACATGCACAACCGAGCCATCATTGTCAGGAAGGAGCTGAGCGTGAAGCAACATTCCGACTTCCCACGGGCCCCACTCACCGTGCCTAAGCTCCGCTTCGAAGAACCCTATTACGTTGTTGCACCTTGCCTGGAGACCTCGTAGACACACAAACGCACACGGGTAGATACAGGGCAGTTGTGGCAAGCGTCTGCCCGGGGACTAGCATTCCGTGAGTCTTCCTCGCCGGCACATCCTGGCATTCTACGACATCTCACCACCACATGCTCTGAACAGCATGAACTACAAAGAATCTAAAGTAAAGCAAACAGGCAGGCCTCCGCCCGCTTGCAAGCAGAGAAGCGTCCCTGCTTTGGCCAATCTTCATCCAGGAAGATCTCCAAGTCTGGTCTAGGCAAAACCTCAGATCTGTCGATGCCTTCTTCGTGCGCCCGCAGTTGATAGAATACAGAGCTAGTCTGCGAGAGGCTGACCTGATCCTCATGCAAGATGTTGTGAAGCCTCTGCCGAATCGGATAATGGTGCTCTCAGTGTGATTCGAGACCACTGAGGCAGAGCAGCCCTGCCTCAGCCGAATTTCATAGCGCCCCGTGCCGATCGCCTCACAATTGCTCGGTCTCAAGTCACGAGTTGATGCACCATGAAGAGACCGGACATATTTCGGCGAGGCCCCGGCATAACCGAACTTGCCTGGGCGGCTCATGGAAGACAAGCAAGGGCATGCAAGGACTCTCAAAGCTCAGGGATCCTGTGACTGGCCGAGATGCCGAGAAATCTCCACTGTTCTTGCTCTTCTGCTGCCGCTCCTCCGAACGTCAGCGTCCCTGCTTGTACCTTGCCTCAGTACCAGCGGGTACCCACATGGCAAAGCCTCCGCTCCCCGAGGTGCTACAGTGACGCATTGTGACGCCAGGGCACACTCGGCGCACATGAAGCGCATCACCAGCACTCCAAGTAGTAAGGACCGCTGGGTGCCTCGGCCAAGTCATGCAGGAGTGGTCGGTGCCAGTAGCGTGCAGGAGCTCCGGCCAAATCGCAACATCAGGTACCGCATGCGGGGAATGTCGGGTCCGCTCGGCTTCATGTTAGCAATGCAAAATTCACGATACCCAGCCAGCCGACTTCGACAACCGAGTGCGGGGCGAGCAGACATGATGAGCCTGTGCATGGTAGCAGCCATGCAAGCAAACGGCTAGGCTGCCGAGGATCTGATCAAAGCCAAAATGGCTACGAGCATTCACCTGTCTGCTGCCATTCCTTCTGCTTGTACATGTTGGCAACTTAGACTTCTTCACAGAAAATCATCACACGTCACAAGTTGCCTCGCGTTGCGTCCTTCGCTCCACGCAGTACCGGCCTGCAATAAGCAGGCAGGCAGCTTCGGGTGCTCGAAGGTCTTCTTTTGTTTTGTCTGTGTGTCGCCTTCAACTCATCAATCGTTTTCAGGGGAGTCTGGCTGCATAGCTGCAGGTATGTAAGCGTCACTCCAACCAACAAGTTGCGATTCGCCACGAGAGCTAGGGGCCAGAACGCTACTCAAGAGCTCCACTCAAGGTAGGCATGTACTTGCTAGGCCGCTAAGCCGCTAGGCCCTGCTACTATTTGCTAGCAACGCGTGTAATACGATATTACGATATAGGACAAGCACCAACACCGAAAAAACTCACATCAAGAGAAAAACACTGTTGTTGCATGCAACATGCAGCATGCACGAAGGAACCATCTTGTAGCAGGTCATGGTGGCCACAAAACCGCGCAGTTCAGGAACAATTTTCCCCCCTCGTCGGTACATCTCGAGCAAGTATGTGGAGAGACTATTTGCGAGGCATCCTTGCCCCACTGCACTAGCCAACGGAATAAGAGTCTCCATCGGCACTGGCGCTGCAGAAGTCGTCTCAAAACAAAAGTTAGGCGGAGGGCAGCAAGGTGAGCAGTGTAACATGACAGCTTAGCACTGCTTCATCTGCACCATTCTGCACCTCCTATATCGGCACTTCAGGTATGTACCCGCGGCTGCTGGTGAAGTGGTTGGTGTTGTTTCCTCGGGAGGCAAGCCTACAAGACTCTCTTCACGTGCAGAGAATGGTTGCAGCTGAGCTCGAGGCTGTACCAGTCTGCTCCCAGCCATATGGTGCTCAGACCAAGGAGCTCGGTGCTGAGGTCAATCAGCGTCACGTAGTTTGACCAGTTCTTGCCAGGATCCACCATTGCCTGTGCCAGTCTGTCGTTACTTTGAAGTACTGTGCTTGGGTTGTAAAGTTTGATGTGTTGTCGGTTGCCTTGCGCCAGAGGATGTGGTAGTCCGTTCCGGGGACCGGGAGAACCGATTCCCCGTTTGCCATCATGCTCAGGAGGTGCCCCTGCACTCAGACTCACTTGTCAGACTCGTAGCCAATCAAGTTTCATATGCCACATCCGAGCATATCCGAGCAGCTAAAGCCTCAGCTCCGGCCTTGATGACCTCGGGAGATGCAGGCAACCAGCCAGCGACGGCCTCCGGGCTCCAGGTGCGGCAATCTCCCTTTGCGGTGTTGTTTGTGTACCTCGGTAGAACCCAGACAAGCCAGCGAGTCTTTGCAGACAGTGCTCCGTCAGTGTGCCCTTCTGTTCTTTCCCAGCTGCATGTCCGCATTGTAGTCTTTGCCTGAACACCACATGATGTCGGGCCCAGCTCCCATCCCATAGCGGTCAGAGCCGCCGTAGAAGACACTGCCTGAGACTCTTGCTCCAAAGCTGCGCTTTGGGGAAGAAGCCAAGCTGCTGCTTCGGATTTCGAGCATGGAGGCGGCGTTGTCTAAGCACTTGGCAAACCTCCCTCTGTGTGTTTCCCCATGTCCAGGAGATTCTAGGACAAACATGATCAGATGTGGAATTGTTCTATCTTGCAAGTAAAATTTATTGATAGTCATTTGACAGCTTATGAAATACATAATTCCAAGTATGATGGCAAAAAATAAGAAATATCGTAAAAGAAAATTTTGGATGAAATTATCAATAAAGAGACGAGGTTTGGAGGAAGTGTAATTTCAATATGGTAGAATCCCACATATATATATATACAATTAGAATTAGGAAAATTAGAACCTCAAAAGAAGCATTACATTAAATAATTTGTCAAAAGATTCTTAACAGCAAACTATATTAGACAAGCTTTAACGAAGGATTTTCTTTCACGTCATTCGGCGGACAATATGTTAAGGATGCTTTCCAAGCTACGACAAGGTTTTTTCACCCAACATAACAACAGCATTTCTCGACAAATCATGGATTGAGAAAGATCGTGGTGTGCACGCCAACTGTCTGAAGAAATGGTCACCGGTCAAAACCGCAAGCTCATGATTTCAGGTCGTGCCATGCAGGGTCTTCAACCCCTGCGACCCTTCTTGCAAGCCTTCGCTTGAGCTGAACATGCCTGAAAAATAGTATGAATGAAGCTGCTGAAGCTGCCACAGAATGCCTTGGTGGTGCACACCTGTCGGACTTATGCAAGGCACTGTTGTAGTCAGCCCAGTCGGCAAGCCAGCCATCCTTAAACCTGAGGGGGCAAAATGCGAGCACTGCCACTTGCCATTGCCACCCCTGAGCTCAGAAGCTAAGGGTGGGACATCTTCTGAAAGGCTGGAAAAGAATTCACTGGATGCGTAGTGTAGTATGGTATCTGAACCACATAGGACGACCAGTCGGAGAGCAAGGGGTGACCAAATATCTCAAGATTCGGATGAAGGGCACGACCGACAACTTTATTCCACATCGTATGAATAGCCGGCATCGAGCAATTCTCCTGGCCACGATGTCCGCAAACCTGGGCAGGCGGTAACCCTTAAATCCCTATCTGCACAGAGCCACCTCGTGTCCAAGAACTCGGATCCCGGACTCTTCGGTCGGCCAGCCATGCGGCTGTGATCTCTTCGGTAAAGGGATAGTACCCGTCAGCCTCTCAAGGAGCATGCGTTGGAGCAGCGAGACACACTCCCTCCCGAAACTCGTAACGGACCTCTGGCCAAGAGATTCCGGTACACAGGCCCTTGTTGTTCATCAGCATGGGGATGCCCGTGCCATTGTATCCCTCCACAACATCCTTAGCATCTGTGTTTCCGGACTCTTTCAAGGCGCCTGAAGCAAAGCTGAGCTGCCGGTGAAGCGAAGGCCTGCAGGCAAAGCATGCTGTGCCAGTCCACCATATCCATGAGCCTCATGACGCGGCTGTCTTCAACTCACCCAACGCATCCTAAGTCCTTGGCCCTAGGTGTTCAGGCTACAAACAGGATCCGGATGATATTTGTGGCGAGTCGCTTCTCCGTCAGCCTCGCGATCATGCCAGTTGTGTCCGAACGCCTCTCAACGCACACTCACAAAACGCAACACACGACAAACCTGCAGACCTACGTTCTTATTGCTCTGCACAGATCGCAACATGACAACCAACTTGCCTCACCCAATGGTTCAGCACGTATGTCTGCACAAACATCACCTCAGCTGCTCGGCCCGGCCAGGTCACAGTTGTCGGCATTGTCCACATCAGCCAGGATACTCCAACGTAGAAGAGGCCAGTTGACATCACTGACCACACACCGTCTACTTTGTCGCCCGCCTGGCAAGCTCTTCCATCTTGAGCTTCCTCCCCTTGCAGCGTTTACGGCGACCCAGCCTCTGCCAGCAAGGCACCAGTCGACTCCTCGAAGTAGCGTGGCACCCAGCCCTTTGGCCCGCGGGTGAAGTTCCACGACATGCCGGCTTTTGCAGGGGGTGGGATGTTTGCATAAGAGGAGAGCGTCAGGTTCACGCGCTCCAGCAAGTCCTGTGGGCGATCGGGTCAATCAACAGCTGATGCGCAACGAGTTGACTGGAAGTGCATCTCCTGATCCGATATCCAGCCCATGGAGTGTGCCACGCACTCCATGATGAGACCCATCCCAGTGGTGTCCGAAGAGCCCAACTTTGCCTTGGCTGGCACTACTTCGAAACACTCTGAGCCTGCTCTACCATCGGCCTTGCCTTGCCAGTGTCGAGATCGATATGATCCGTGTAGCCTTGGTGTTGGTAGACGAAGGCTCTCGCAAGCCATCCCAAAGAACGATAGCTGGAACATGCGCTGAGCAACAGCCTGAATAATCGTTGCGGGATCGTCGCCAGACTTCGTAGTTACCTCGCGCCAGGTTCTTGAAAGCATCGTCCTCTGTCTTGCAGAGCGTCTGCATGCAGGGGCCGAGGTCGTCGGTCGTGTTCACCCGGAGAGGCACTTGGCCCGCAGGGCATGGCCCAGACGTGGCAGCACAGAGTCTCCAGCAATTGCCACCGAAGAAAGACTTGTCTTTCCAGACCTGTCCAGGCTGAGAGCAGCTTTGACAGGAAACTCTTCAGGGGCAGAGAATGCCTGCTTCATGCCCGGCCTGGTTCTGGATGACGATCGTCTGGCAAACGTGTCGTCCAACGGCGATGTATCCCTCGTTGCACTGGTAGCTACATTCATCGCCGAGCTTGCTGGCAACGCACTCGTTCCCAGGCTTCCGGTTCGAGAAGGGGATCTCCTGACCAGCCAAGCAGACCGAGACCGGCGGCGGAGTTGTTGCAGGCCCTGCAGGCAGAGGCCCCGTGGTGTTTGCCACCGGTTCCGTAGCTTCTGGCGCTTGTGGCGTGGTGGTCGGCAACACCGAGGACGAAGAGGGCACTGGTGGCGGTGTTGGAAGGGGTGGCACACTGGCAGCGACACCGGAGCTATTCGAGGCGTTGGGCACCTTTCATTCTTGCAGCACTGAAACCCGAATCCTTCAATAACAGCTAGTTCCACGGCTTCTCGCCTTCAGTACCCGTCGTTGAAGGGCATTGAGATGGCAGGCCTCGCTGGGCGCCCCAAGGCACTCGTCGTCGCCTGAATCCAACAAAGCGTCAAGCTCATCGCAGCAAGAAGCTGACCATGTCTGTCTTGATGCTGCACAACGTCACCGGTACAATTGCACACGAGCAGCTCGCCAAGGCAGGTGAGAAGTGATCCTGGGGGTTTCCAAGCTCGGACATGTGCACTTCATCGAATCACCCGCGGCTGGCCGCAGATCGAAAAGCGATAGCAAAAGCTCAGCTTGCACCGGCGCCTCTTGCGTTCCCCCGAAGACGAGAGTCGCAAAGGTCACCCAGGCCAGTGTCAGAAGACCCATGTTTTCGTACCTTATCACCTTTCAGGGATTCAGGGTCACTCGGAACCTTGTTCTCAAAGATTTGCAGGGCCAGCGTGCCTTTGACTGCCTGAAGGCTAATTGGTCAAACTCCGGCGCCACTCTCTTTGGAGGACCGCCAACGCTTTGGACGTAACTTAGAGTCTGAGCCAGTGCCGCATCGTGAGATCAACTCAGTAGGCACACCCACTGCCACAAGCGTGCTCATCCCCGCAAGAGAGACGGCAAGAACACATGCCACACTTCCTGAACTTGGAACCGCCCGTCTCTAGATCGTGCAAGGCCGCAGGGTTTCACGAATCAAGGTCATCCAGTTCGTGGAAGTCACAGCGATCTAGCGGAACTCAGCTGAGAGCTGCTCGTTGTTTTTCGGATGGATTTCGGAGACGTGGAAACGAAAACACACGAATGATCCGTTTCACATCCACAAACTGTCAGGTGAAGTGGCGGGCTACTCGGGGCCAACTGCGGTCTCTTAGCATTCCTGAAGGGCTTCCGAGCACCTCGAAGCTCACGGAGATGGCATCACCGGTCTGCCCGGGCCGCGCTAGCCGCGCCTGATGTCAGAACATGTGCTCAGCGTGCTGCTAGCATAGAAGCAGGGATGTGTCGAGAAAGAAAGAATGAGAGAGCGAGAGAGAGCGAGATGCCTTCGTTTCTTTCTGTACACCCAAGTTCACCCAAGCACGTCCACCTGTCTGAAGACCCTCAAGCATCGCTACCCACCTAAGCTGCGGGTGCTCGCAGCTTGACGAGCTCGCAGCTAAAACACTTGGCTGGTGGCAATGCCGTGAAAGGCGAAGAGCCATGAAAATTGCATGCTGGCCTACAGCCAGTACTGGCATAGCGGGGTCAAAAGCACAATGATGCGTCGTCCCCCGCCCAACCGTGCAATACAGTCAGAAGTTTCGGGAGACATTCTCATTATGGTCATGGAACAACTGCACAGCATGCGCTTAGGGCGTAGGATAGCAAGCTCGAGCGCATTTTCGCGAAACTCCTGAAAGCTACGAAAACCAGAAGAAGAAATGGAGAATTGGTATAGCATAGGCTTCGCAGCCATCTTCCATAAACATCCTCTGCCAACGATTCTTTGCCCTGTGTTCGTGGACTCCTGTCTCAGTACACCTCCACGTGGTAACCTGGATCAGGAAGTCTTGATCTATCGAGAACTAACATAACTAGTAACGAAATACGCACGACGCACCCCACCATGCAGTGTGTGCATTGCCTTTCCTGCATTGATTGCAATTTTTTATGGACGATGCCGCATGTACAGCCCACAAGCGTCACTTGAGCTGTTCTTTGTCGGGGAGCGCTTGGCTTTCTTCATCCCCTTCAAGAACTCCGTGTAGACCATGCCCTCTGCTTCAACCTTCTCCTGTAGCCCACGTGCTATATGGCAAAATGCCTGCAACAGAAAACTCAGAAGTTCGAGGCGACTTGCCGTCAGCTCCTGGAAGCACTCCGCGAAGCCACTCTCCATGCCCTTGAGGCCGCACATGTAGATGTGCGTTTTGGGATCCTGCGACAATGACGACTTGTGGACAAGTTCTGGAACTTTTTTCGTGCTTCGTACCGCCTCAGCTGCGCTGTCCTTGACCAACTGCCACAGATCCTCACCGTACTCCATCATCTTGTGCTGCACCCACATCTCTCCGTTTATTTTGTTCTTCTCCGACTTCTCCTCGCTCGAGATCGCGTAGTCGTAGCGGAACTGGTCTGGGAACTCGGCCTGCATCTCCTTCCACTCTTCGTCATAGAGCAAGGACTCGCTGTAGGGAACTCCCAAGAACAGCCAGGCACAGCCGTTGAACTTGCCCTTCGAGACCTTGTCGTGGAAAAGGTTGCGCAGGTGGGATCGGAAGGGTGCGATGCCGGTTCCGGTGGCCATGAAGATCATGTTCGCCTCGGGATCTTCCGGCAACAGCATCTCGGCTCCTGTTGGGCCTGTGATAAGAACGTCATCGCCGGCATTCAGATCGCAGATGTGGCTGGAGCAAACTCCGCGATAGACCTTCTCTGCGTCCGGGAACTCAAGATCCTTTCCCTTCTCGACGTTCGAGTACTCGCACCAGCCACGGCCGGCCACCTCCACAACGCGCTTCACCACCAGGGACACCGTCTTGCTGCTCTCGTCGTCNNGCGGAGGAGGCGATGGAGTACAAGCGGATCTTTGCTGGGGTCTCGCCCTTCTTGTCCGGGCCCGGGGCGATTACTCCGATGGATTGGCCCTCGATGTACGGCACCTTGCCGCCGTGGTCCATGATCACATGGCACGTCTCCCAGTTCACCAAGGGTGTCTTGCTGGTGATGGTCTCCTTGGACAAGCAGCTGCCCTCATAAGGCGCCTTGGGGCTGAAGAGGTTCCAGGGGATCTCCTTTCCAGTCGGATGCAGAAAAAACTGTCAAAGGGTAAGTATCTTTCCGCACCACTCCACTGAATTGCCACCTAAAGCTGCATCACAACACCCAATTCGTGTCCTTGCCCTCGACCACACGCACGCCTTTCTTCTTCACCTGTTGGATTTCCGATGCCGGCTCGGTGTTTCGGTTGTTTGGGTTGTCTCCTGTGTGCTAACTGCTAACCTGCTAATCACTCCCCCTAACGGTACAACGTCCTAAATTCGATTGAAAGGGAATGGCATGGGGCCCCTAAGAAGATGCATCTTCGAATTTGGCCAGAACACAGCTGTAGCTCGACGACGCAGCAGCGCCCCGCGTCCTACCACCGCAGCAGTAGCCACTGCTCCGGCGGCCAGGGTCCTCAATTGTTCTTGTTCTCAAACAAAAAAAATTGTAGCATGACCGCAACATGTCCTGCTTGAAGCTCCCCAGGTAGATGCTGCAGCTGCAGCTCCAGCACCCCTCAAGGCTGGTGAGCTCTCGGCCTTTGACAGCAATGACCAATGACTTCTGAGGCGAAATTGCCTTCATGTGTGGCTGAGACATTTATGGTCACGGTTGCGCACCTGGACGGGCTTGGAGGCCACGAATGCCTCGCTGCCCAGGCCAATGGCAGCAGCTGCACCCAAAGCTGCGATCACGGGGGCGTCCTTGTGTGAAAACGATGTATTGGCGCATGGCCTTGCTATTGCTACCGCGCTTCTTCATTGCATGATGCATCCAAAAGTCACGTGCAGACGGCATTTCCGCCAGGACTGAAGGCGCGGAGGATGTGCGGCGGCTTTTTGCTGTGCTTGGACCAGGGCTGCGAGTGACAGAAAAAGCAATTCACGTGGCACGGAAAGGAAACCTGCTGGGTGCCCGTCTCCATGTTCGACATGTCACCACGTCTCACGACGGAAGACCCGTGATACTCGCAACCCGTGGGGAAATCCCGTTGATTTTCCGGTATAACTTTGGGATCTCTCTATGTTTCTCTTTGCTTGTTCTGCTTCGCAGAACAGAACTTCAATGGCACTCGTGCCTCAGGAAACCTACATTCAAGGAAACTGCCGGAAGACCTAGCGGGAGTCGCTCCCTTCCGGGATCGTGCCCATTGGCCTACGTGCTTTGTGTAGACAGTCAGGTCCCCAGCTTCTGCTTCAGAACCTGCGACAAACGTTCGGCCTGCCAGACACTCTTCTGTGAGGGAGGTGTGACCTTGATGGCTCGGTCTGGCCACCGGCCGCGCTGGAGGCCTACAGTAGCATGCTTAGTGCCTCGGCATTCCCCGGCCGCACGAGGAGCGTCACATGGCTGGCATTGTTGAGCCAGAGCACGAAGTCCTGGCAAACAAGGTCCGAGGAAAGCAATGCCCATAGTTTTGGACGGCAGCAGTGCTCCTAGCAGCAGCTGCACTAGCAGACTAGCAGCAGACTAGCAGGAGCAGTCGCTGGAGTCGTCGTAGTAAAATAATAGCCGTCGTCGTCGTCGTCGTCGTCGCGGATGTCGTCGTCATGGGGTTGTGGGGGTTGTGAGGGTTGTGGGTGTGGTGTTTGTGGTGTTTGTGGTGTTTGTGGTGGTTGTGGTGGTTGTGGTGGTTGTGGTGGTTGTGCTGGTTGTGCTGGTTGTGTTGGTTGTGATGGTTGTGGTGGTGCTTGCTGTGCTTGCTGTGCTTGTTGTGCTTATTGGGGTTGTTGGCTTTGGTTGTGGTTGAGGTTGTGGCTGTGGTTGTGGTTGCTGTGAGTGTTGTGCGTGTTGTGGTTGTTGCAGTTGCTGTGGTTGTTGTGGTTGTTGTGGTTGTGGTGCTGCGGCGGCGGCTGTGGCTGCGGCTGCGGCTGCGTGGTGCTGGTACTAATGCTGGTGCTGTTGCTGTTCATTTTGCAGCACCTGCGTTTGGCACGGAATTTTCAGCGATTTCGCTTTATTCTTCCTGCTGGGACCTGAGCCTCTGCAACTTCACCGGCTGTGACAGTTCAGGAAAGTGAGCCTCTGCAACGTTTGCAGCTGTCACAAATCAGGAGCCTGAGCTCCTGCATCTTCTGCTGCTGTGTCGCAGTTAGGGAGCCTACAAGCTGCTACTGCCCAGCCCGGATGGAGCAAGTGAAGTTGGTAGGGCGGGGGTGGCTAGTATGGGCAGTAGTAGTAGTGGTAGTAGTAGTAGCAGCAGCAGCAGCAGAAGAGGAGCAGCAACAGTAGCAGCAGCAGCAGCAGTGGGAGTAGTAGGAGCAGTAGCACTCGCAGCACTAGTAGCACCAGTAGCACTGATAGCACTAGTAGCACGAGTACCAGTAGTCGCAGTAGCAATAGTAGTAGTAGTCGTCGTCGTAGTAGTAGTAGTGGGAGGAGGAGGAGGAGGAGGAGGAGGAGGCGGCGCCCCCCACCTGCCAACTAGCTTTCCTCGACACTGTTTAAGCGCATATACACGGTATTTACAATACTTTCGTGATGTCGTAGTCCAATACTTTCTGCTGAGGGGTGAAGGGGGGTGGGGAGGGGGGGGCGGGGGGCGGGAGCATGATGACGTACTTTTCAAAAGCACATCCGCTTTATTCGGTATTTACAGTACTTTCGTGATGTCGTAGTCAATACCAACGATGATGATGACGGGTTTAGTCGCCAGGTAGTTGGTAGGAGGGGGGTGGCTAGTAGTAGTCGTTGTTGTTGTACTCGTACTAGGACTTACTAGGAGCAATAGTACGAATGCTTTTGCTGGGCAATTATAGTACGTGGAGATTCCGTGGCGACACGATCACATCGCTTCGCTCCTGACCGTGCGAAACGAAGACGCCACGGCCGCTCGGCTCTAAAGCCTCACCAACTCCCCAGAGATCCCTCACAGGTGTCAAGACAAATCTTCTCAGGTTTTTGTTGGGGGGTCGTACCGAAGCGGGACAGACATGATCACTGCGCAAGGCGGCCCTGCCAGCTTCTGGCCTCGAAGAGCAGTCCCTCCTTGCGGAGCTTCTCGCTCCAGGAAGCTGGCATGCCTTCCCGGAAGGATGCGCGACGGCAGGCCACCCAATGGGGCAAATGCGTGCCTTCAGGCATGAGTGGCCAACTCCTGGAGGACGGCAGCGGGAGGTACTGTCCTGCACGTGGATTAGAGGAACCTGCCGAAACCACACTGCACGGTGCATTTGCCTGAGAGGTTGCCCTGCAGCTGGAACAGTTCCTTCAGTGGCACCGTTTGCTAAAGCCCTGGATGGTAGTCCCCGGGCCTTGCCAAGTTTTCGCTCCACCTCGGTGGCGGCTGCAGACGGTAAGGCCGCGCTCCACGAGGCCACCTCCGTCCATTCCTGAACCTCCAAGCACTTGCGACGCAGTGCCGGATCTTGCAGCCCCTTCCCGCGCTCCCCCCCCTCTGCAGGTTGTGCCTTCGGCCTGGAGCTAGAGGACTGGAGATGGCCACACAGGAAGGCAATGGGATCCTCTTACACAAGATGCAACTGCCGACAATGACAAGGAGGAAGGGGATGCAAAGGAATCACAAAGGATCGGAATGCCACCCTCTGCGTACTCATGACTCAGCTTCAGACCTCTGGCCGTGTCTTCCTTAGGCTGAAGCGCGCAAACCCAAAGAGGCAACAAAGCAAAAGCAAGAAACAGCTCGACCGATTCATATTTGTGCGTGTGCGTGTGTCTCTTGCGCGCTTGTGCGCTTTGCGTGCCTTGCGTGCGCTTGTTTGCGCTTGTGCACGCTTGTTTGCGCTTGTGTGCGCTTGTATGCGCTTGTATGCGCTTGTGTGCGCTTGTGTGCGCTTGTGTGCTCTTGTGTGTCTTGTGTGCTCTTGTGTGCTCTTGTGTGCTCTTGTGCGCGCTTGTGTGCGATTGTGTGTGCTTGTGTGCGCTTGTGTGCGCTTTTGTGCGCGCTTGTGTGCGCTTGTGTGCGCTTGTGTGCGCTTGTGTGCGCTTGTGTGCGCTTGCATGCTCTTGTGTGTCTCGTGTGCTCTTGTGTGTCTTGTGTGTTTGTGTGTCTTGTGTGTCTTGTGTGTCTTGTGTGTCTTGTGTGCGCTTGTGTGCGCTTGTGTGTGCTTGTGTGTCTTGTGTGTCTTCTGTGTCTTGTGTGCGCTTATGTGCACTTGTGTGCGCTTGTGTGCGCTTGTGTGCGCTTGTGTGCGCTTGTGTGCGCTTGTGTGGCTTGTGTGGCTTGTGTGTCTTGTGTCTCTTGTGTATAGTGTGTCTTGCGTGTCTTGTGTGTCTTGTGTGTCTTGCGTGCGCTTGTGTGTCTTGTGTGCGCTTGTGTGTCTTGTGTGTCTTGTGTGTCTTGTGTCGCTTGTGTGCGCCATGTGTGTCTTGTGTGCTCTTGTGTGCTCTTGCGTACGCTTGTGTGCGCTTGGGTGCACTTGTGTGCGCTTGTGTGCGCTTGTGTGCAGTGCCATGTGTGCGCTTGTGTGCGCTTGTGTGCGCTTGTGTGGCTTGTGTGTGCTCGTGTGCGCTTGTTTGCGCTTGCGCGCGCTTGTTTGCGCTTGTGTGCGCTTGTATGCGCTTGTCTGCGCTTGTGTGCGCTTGTGTGCTCTTGTGTGTCTTGTGTGCTCTTGTGTGCTCTTGTGTGCTCTTGTGTGCCTTGTGTGCCTTGTGTGTCTTGTGTGTCTTGCGTGTCTTGTGTGTCTTGTGTGTCTTGTGTGCCTTGTGTGTCTTGTTGCCAAACTTGATACAGTTTGGGTGATGGCACCTCTCCAAAATGTGGATTTTCCGGATGTGGCTGATGCAATCCCAGCCCCACTTCCTCAACAGCAGCCTGCCCTCTCGACTGTTAAAGCCCAGTTGGCTCTGGAAGATTCTTGGGGAGATTGGCGTCGACCCATCCCAACGGAAACTCCCAGAGTTTCGGACTCTGAGCCAAGGTGGCAAGCTCAAGAATCCAAGTTTACAGCATCGACTGAAGCCCCTCCGGGCTCTGCTGATGATAAGCTTGACCAGCTCATCTTGAAAGCCAATGAGCAAAGGTCTTTACCAGCAGGCTCTTTTTCGGAGCCTTCCCAAAGCAGCAAGCCTGCCAAGGAGGCCGAAATCCCTTTGCCATCTCCTCCTACCTTGTTTGAGGAGAGCCAAGATCTTCCAGACAACACTGAAGATCTTATGGCTGTAGCGTCTGCCTTCGCAGGCCAGACCAAGAAGAAGAGCAACCAGTGATACTGCATGTCTTCTTCCATGTATCATTTCAGTTCAGTTTACTTGTAGAATAATGAATCAGGCATTTCAAGCATGCTGTGTTGCATAAAATGATCGTTGTCCTTTTGTGCTTTTTTCCTGTTGCATTTGAGTGCAGAGTGCAACACTTCTTTCAGTCTAGAGTCTATATATGTTCTGCTCCAGAAGTGAGTGTCAGATTTCCGTCCTTATTGCCATGCCGAAACGTCATCGCAAGCGTCAGCGAAAGCACAAGTTTACCTCTTTGGCAAGTTCTTCCAACAGCTCTTTACCTTCCAGCTCGTCTATGTCCTCGACCAGTTCTTCTTCTAGTACGCAAGCGAAAGCAGAAGTTTCCCAAGCCAGTCAGAACGCTCAAGACAATCCTCGATCTGCGCGAGCTGTGAAAACCGTCTTCTTCACATTTAACTGCAGATACTGCAGCCTTCAGACTGACTGGCAATTCTTTATTACGCAACAAGGTTTTGATTCAAACTCCAGAAATTGACTCCAATGATGGAGTCATTATCTACAGCACTCGGAGTAAACCTGTGCACGCACATCATTGTGCCGCTCAGCAACTGCTGAATAAGTGGTCCAAAGTGCGGCACTGTTGCTGCAATCAAAGCACTTGTCAATTGTGCTGTGTTTGTCGGTCAAGCAGAGCCAAGCTCATGCTTGATTTTGTTAAAACTCATCCCACAACTCAACGCAGCAACCGAGCCAAATGCAACTCGATTGTCGAGCGGAATCTCACGTACCAGTATTTAACTTTGTTGAGTGACCTTAGGAAAAAAAGAGATGTGATGCTTGTGCAATCAACGTCAGCTGCACAATTTTTGCTTGAGCAAGCTTGAGGCTCCATTCTCATCCAGGGCGAATCATGTCTTTCCGTCTGCCTCCTGATGCACTTGCAGCGGTGGCCAGCTTCATTATGACCATCGAGCTCCACATTTGTGCGAGCGATCTTTCCAACGATGTCATCCGTGACAGACGACCGAACTGGGACTACGAGATTCCGCGATCTCAAGCCTTTCTTCGACGATTTGGTGTCGATCATGGCTTACCGTTTCATGTTCAGACGATTCCAAACAATACCACCTGGAATGTTTTTATGTACACTTGCCATCTCGATCTAGCAGTCATATTGCGCTTGGCATCTGTTTCCCGTGCATGAGTTAAACCCATGCACCAAGTAGCTCAGACCCTCCCC